ATACAAAACGTAGATAATAAAACATACCTATTTTAAAACAGTACTTAGTAGCAGGGAATAGTATATTCTAACTCTCGGTATATTGATAAAACTCATTCATGGAGTAAAAGGAATGGTACACAGAAACCTTTTTAAAGTGGATTTAAAACCCTTCTCATCATTCACCAATCTTTTTATTGAATGAGGTAAATGATTAAAAGCCGGTCATGGTAGCCGAGCAGTCTAAGGCACGTACTGTCTTCGCTCGCTTGGAAACCGGGATTGTGGGTTCGAATCCCACTCAGGGCATGGATGTTTAGTTTGTGTGTGTGCGTTTTTCTGTGTTTGTGTATAGGTAGAGGCCTTGCGACGAGCTGATCACCCGCCCAAGGAGTCCTACTGAATGTGTAAGATCTAGAAAAACTGAAGTGAATGGAGAAGTTCATGGAGGTAGGCCTAGACCCACTGGGGCTGTAGTGGCAAGGGAAAAAAAATGATTAAAAACTCTAAATAAGAGTGTCATAACTCTATAAATTCATTAAGTACAAAACCATAGTTTGCTTCTTTGTGTGTGTAATGTTTGCATTGTGCACACCTCTGTGGTGTTTATGTTATGTTGTTTGTGCTGCATGAGTGCAAGTGATGTTTGGTGTTGCCTGATATACGTGCACACACCCACTATTCCTATGGCATCACACTGTTTGTAGGATGAAAATTCAGAGATCAAAAATATGTTCACTGTTGCAAAAATTAAGCTTAAGTGAAAAAACAGGTATAAAATAGACTTCACTGTAGAGAACATTCATAAATTGAGTATTCGTAAAGCAAGGGATACCTGGATTTTTATCTCCTGGCATCACATTGATCCTGCAACCTATGGACAAAAGACCATTTCAGTCTTGTTACACTCAATACATGCATAGGCATTCAATCCATGCTATATGCTCTGGTGCTCTTGATAACGTAAATCAGCATGTGTAGGAATATTTATTTCTGTTTAGGTCTTAAACAGAGAGAATGTGTTACTTCTCACATATTCCCATTTAACTCATAAGGCATTAAATTTGCTGAACACTGATGTACGTAATGAACCATTTTTGAGGAACCAATCCACATATACGAAGGGGGAGCCAAAAATAACCGGAAACGGCCTGTTGTGTGCGCATGCTTTGTAGTTACGAGTTGTGCTGCTAGGTGGTGTTAGCTGGGGGTCTCCCGCGACTGTTAGTGAGCTGGCGTCAGTCTGAGTTAAGTGGTTTGTCTGTGGTGCTCTGTTGTGTGCGTTCCTGTTTCAACCCTTTGGCAATTAGTGAGATGGCCGACCAGAAGGAACAAAGAGTGTGTGTGAAGTTTTGCTTTCTGTTAGGGAAAACTGCACTCGCGGCAAACATTCACGCGGTTTTCTCTTTGGTCATCTCCAAGCAAGCGAGGAACAAATTTTGCAGACACCCGTCTCATGTGCAAACCTTCGGTTAAAATTCGCTGGACCGTGCTCCATGAGATGTTCGTTTCCTCAGAAAGTTGGTCAATGGTCTTTCAACGATCTTCATCAATTTCACGCACACTCTTTGTTCCTTCTGGTCGGCCATCTCACTAATCGCCAAAGGGTTGAAACAGGAACGCACACAACAGAGCACCACAGACAAACCACTTAACTCAGACTGACGCCAGCTCACTAACAGTCGCGGGAGACCCCCAGCTAACACCACCTAGCAGCACAACTAGTAACTACAAAGCATGCGCGCACAACAGGTCGTTTCCGGTTATTTTTGGGTCCCCCCTCGTAAATAATGCATCAGTCTAACAGACAGGGCATAGAATGTTGTGCTGTGCAACTGGAACAGAAATTCTCTTCACACCTCCTAACTGTACAGTTTCTTTTTCCTTACTTTGGAAGAAAATCACATTACCAAAATGAGGACAAGTTTAGTGTGTTCTGAGAGTATATCAATCAATCATTATGGAAATAAGTTTGGGAGATCTACCAAATAATTCACTCACACTTTTATCATGTTGTGTGTTTATTTGGGTTAAAAACATAATTTTGCTACATGTGAGTCATATGTTCTACTTATGGCTCTGTTCAGCGGCTTCTATCCCTACCCTCCCTTTCCTTTTTCTCTTTCTCAGGAAGTTCTACTCTTCCGGAATTTGTTCTGTTCCATGCCTACCACGTGACCCCCCCTTCAGATGTTGCTAGGATCTAGTGAGTAGGAAGGAGGAGAGACTTCACTTGTTGTATAGCAGTTGCAGAAGAAGGGTAGCGTCCCTCCTTCGGGGTTTAGAGGACTGTTTTGGAGACACTCTGTGATTAACAGTCAGAGAAGCAGACAGCTAGGGCTTGTCTGGGCATGGCCAGCCTAAATTTGGTTTGGGTTCCTTTTCTTCTGGCCGAAAAAAAATTACATTTCTGGGATGAGTCGTGGCTAAATTTATGTTTTCTTGCGACTTGTATATTATCATTTTTGCTGACCTTCTTGGTCTATTGCCCTCGAAGTTTAAGCAGGGTGTATCTGACATGTTAACTTGTGTGCTTATACCTCTTGCGAGGTGCTTTTTGATAAATAATCATAAGGGAAAGGAGTGGCTCGCCGTCAACGCAGTGAGTGAAATTCTGGCTTGGGTTTCATTTTCCTTACCTTGTTCTTTTGGTTGAAATTCAAGTTCGATGTGGTTGTTGATTAAAAAGGGGCACTGATGGTGAGAGGGGCCCCTCCCTAAATATGCGATGTAACTGTTCAAAGTTGCGAAGATACAAATTGCAATTTTATTGTATGTATTATATTGGTGGTTTGTTTGTCATATTGAACATATGTAAAATTGTTAACTGCCGGTCATGGTAGCCGAGTGGTCTAAGGCATGTACTGTCTTTGCTTGCTTTGAAACTGGGATTGTGGGTTTGAATCCCACTCAGGGCATGGATGTTTAGTTTGTGTGTGTGTGTGCGTTTTTCTGTGTTTATGTACAGGTAGAGGCCTTGCGATGAGCTGATCACCCGCCCAAGGAGTCCTACCAAATGTGTAAGATCGAGAAAAACCGAAGTGAACTGAGAAGTTCATGGAGGAAGGCCTAGGCCCACTGGAGCTGTAGTGCCAAGGGAAAAAAATTGTTAACTGGAGGTTTTTCTGGGCTACTGCAAGTCAAGATCTATAACTTGGAAACCCCACTCCATCTTGGGGCAAAGAGGCATGAGAAGCAACGTAGAGGAACCAGGGACAAAAGCAATGTCTCCCCGTTCTAGTTAGGTTAAGAGGGGAGGGGCTGCTCACATGTTTCAGCTTTTCATGAAGCCATCATCAGGTGATACACTGTACAAGTTCCTACTGATAAAAAGTTGGTAAGGGAGGAATGTATGGTACATTTTATGTAAGATAAAGGAAGTGCTCCTTGACAAGAAAATTGTCATAAATCAGAGATTACTTGCTGAGAGTGACCATGTAACATCTACATTTAGGATGTGAAGGCAGTGAAGAAAATGCAAAAAATCTAACTGCACTGAATTTAAATACCCTTTTTAAAAGTGATTACTGTAGTGTTATTCATACCACTACCTACATTAATTATGTTAATTTCAACTAATAATATTAATCTTGTGAAATTTCATTAAACAGTTACACTTGATAAGTCTGTGAGGATGGTATATTAATAGAAAGTCCAAAACGTCAGTATCGGAGTTATACTTAAAGCTGAAATTTACATCATGATTTCAGTTGACTGTTCCTCTCTCAATTGATTGAGATCTACAGAAAAGAGAAGTCCCTCATACCTGAACAGTTTTCTTTTTTAATCTCTTGCAAACCACTAAGTTTGTTGCTAGCTGATATAAAGGTAAGGTAAAGCTGTCCCGGTGCTTAACTATCTAGTAATTAAGCACTACCCCATGAAGACTATGGGGGAGTGGATGTACAGATCCACTTTTTCTTGACCTTGGCACTAGTTTGAGGTGAGTTTTCAGCTTTCATGCGCTGGCCACTTTACCCCTGGTACCCATTGGATGGACCCCAGAGCCAGTCTGGACGACATGGAGAAAATTCTGGACCCTACCAGGACCTGAACTCTGACCTCTTGATCGTCCAGCTCGTAGCCACTTGCTATACTGACTACGCTATCCCATCTCCTGCTAGCTGATATTCACAGTAAAGAGGTATGCAAGTCTTAAATGATCCTATCAGTTAAAGCATTGTACTGTCATATTTCTTCACAAGCAGAATCAACACATCTCTATTCTAAGTTTCTTTTTGTAAGTAATCCAAGGATCACATAAAATGATATACTGTCTGTAATGTTCAATAAACTATATTTT